AAGTATGTAAAATGGTTCTTCATTAAATTTAAATGGACTCATTAATAAAATATTGAGGATGTGCTACTTTAAGACATCGGAAAAAAAAAGTATAAATTGGCGATAACATTATTTCTATTTTTAAATACATCCCACAGAGGCACCCAAGATAGATGAGAAGTGCTAAGCCCATCCCACAAGCTTATTTATTTATTTAATACTTCTTTTGCGCTATTTTTAACTGCAAAAGACATCAAAAGGCATCCATTAGAAAAATTACATTGGTTAGAGTTTTCCTCACACAGGTTCAACAAGTGAGATATGTGGCTGAACACAACGTTATGAAGAGATGGGTTTTTTCCTCCCTTTCCTGTAGATTTCTGGAATAAAAAAGCAATTTTATTTTTGCAGCATCAGCTAGGCCAGAATCAGTATCTGCAAACCACTGTCAGTCCTTACTCACTCCCCAGCCCCCTCTTCCCACTCCTCCACTTCCCGCAAGGTTTGATTTTGTAAGTAATACACGGTTTGAATGCATACACAACACGCTTACCACACAGGGACAGTTAAAATGTAGATGTATGGGTTTGGTTTGGGTTTTTTTAAGCCTTAGGTGTGCACATAGAAAATAAATGAGAGGCAATGCCATAGTCTCATAGTATTGCATCATTATGCAGAAGAGCTCTTCCTTCAGGAGGAAAAAAAAAAAAAGGTTAAAAAATTTTCATTTTTTCAATACAGTTAAAGGAATTTATCTTAGTTGATGTTGTTTTTCCTTAGGAATCAAAGCGAATCTTTGGTGAGCTAAGAAATCAAAGGAAGAATGTCCCATCACAAATACAAGTTTTCACATTCAAAAGTGACAGAGCTACATTGTCAAATTATCTATTTAGGAAAAAAAAAAATAAATCTTGACTTGATTTCTACATGTCACCTTCCTAAATGGTTGCTTTCTTTGGGGAAATACAGAGTTTCCATGCACAGTCTGAGCAGCAAATTTTCCCTTTTCCTCCCATTTGAAGAAACAAAGCCTGAACTCCAAGGAAGCACTGCAGCACTCCTGAGCAGTTTCTACCAGGGTTTCTGGTGGACTAGAAGACAAAAATGCAAGTAGGCATTTAGGTGTTATTTCAGGAGCCTCTGCAAGCATTTTAAGTCTCCTCCTAACTTTGCTACAGAAGACACAGCCTAAACTGGGTGCATATTTACTGCCTGGCCAGATAAACAGCTACAGACTATAAAAACAGTGTAAAAGATGAACTTCAGAAGTGACACAAGTCCCCTGACATGCTCCAGGTCCCAGTGCAGAGTGGGAGGACAGACCACACCAGGCAGGGCATGGCACTGCTCAGCAGTTGCACAGGTAATCTAGGTGGTAGTGTAAGTCATGTAAGCGCAAGACTGCACATGCAGCAGCTGCATTTCTTAACAGCTATTTTCCCTTCTTTTTAGATTTTGCATAGAGCAAGGTTTTTTTTGTAAAGAAAACCAGAGGTTTTTGGTATCACTCGGAATAAGGACAGTTTGTTTGTTCTACCTGCCCAGAGATAAGCTCAGTTTGCTGAGAACAGGCATTACTGAGCCCATAAATGGAAGGCTTTTATTCATAATCTATTCATACATGGCACTAACAATGCTTGATGACTAAGAAATACTTCAATTTCTAAAAGAAGTAGCTTTCTCTTTAGTGGAAAGGTCACATTGCACAGAGAACTATGCAATCAGCTGATGCACAAGACAAGTGTCACCAGCAGAAAGTTGAATAAAAAGCAAGTAGTGTAATTTTGTGGGTACAAAAATCACTACTAAACTCTAGATCCTGGATAAATATTCCAAACATTCTCTGTATTTGGAATCCAGCCTCAGGTGAGGCCTGGCTTGGGCAACAGAGCCTCTGATACAATTTTGATTCCTGACTTATTTCTGAAATTTTCTGAATATTCTGCATGTGGGCCTTAGAAAGCAGACCACAGTCTGCCAGTAGTAGGCAGAAATCCAAGCAAATTGTCTGCTGAAAAGCCAAATTTAAGAGTTCACATACTGCTTCCCCCTTAAGCATTACATTCAATGACATTAAAAGGCTAATTTGCAGGGCATAGCATCCATCCTACATTCCCCAGGCTGCCTGAAGAAATGTGAGGTATCTGCCCAGTTTCAGATTTTTGCTTGCAACCATAAACTGCTGGGAATTAAACCCTGAAACACACTTATAAAGTTTGTGCTTAAGAAACTAACAAACACCACTTTCAGAATTCGTTGAGTGTTGAAACTACGAAAAGAGAGGATGTGTGATGTATAAGTGAGGAACACAGACACACAAGCGACTCCATCTCAGAACCCAAAGACAGACTTAAACTTCCACGCAGGCTTAAACTGCTTAAACTTTCCCACTTGAATAAAATCCTCCTCCACAATTACAAGTTGTTATGGCACTCTAAGGAGAGAAAGCAGAGACCTAACATGTCAAACAGCTTCTTTGCATGACTTGATACCATAAATTTAATGTTTCCCCTGGAAGTGCTGTTCATATGTACACTTGTGCAACATTTAAACTGAATACATAATCTAATGCCGTCAAAATAGCTCATTACCAGGGTCTTGTCAAATTCCATAACCACATTACACAAATAATATCTCACTGCAAAAGCATGCTTATAGTTCAAGTTCTCATTTACTAAAATAATTATGTTTCTATCAGTCTTCTGTACATGGTCACAAGCAAACTCAGACCATCACTGCGGATACTGAACATTCACATGCTAAGAGACAATTCTTTAGGCTAAGCTAAAGTCTGATCTGGAGAGCAACTCAATAAGCTGTAAGAGATCATAGTGCAAGGTAATTACAATTTGTTATACCTGCTCCATGCCTAACATTGAGTTTTCCTGACCTCTCCTATTTTTATTTTAGCAACTAAGCAAAACAACACAGTTATTACCTTAGGTCTGCAAACACTCAATCTCCGAGACATTAATTATTTCAATTTATCTGAATGGCGACTTAACATTATCAGCAATTTCAGATATCCATTTTGCCAGACCCCTCTCACCTAAACAATTCCCTCCAGCTCACAAGATGCCTAAACACTCAACCTCTTCTGGGCCATTTTCAGTAACGTAGATGTTTTGGAAGGACAGAAATCCAGCAACACTATCAACTTAGAAGGAGAATATTCTGTTGGTTTCTGCACACAGAACAAGTATAATATGCTATTTAAAATACAGTATTGATATATAAAATCAAGCAGGCAATTTAAGATTTCCAGATTCTGACCAGTTTTATGAACTACTGCAAAGAAAGAAACATGTATGAAACACAGGCAGAAAGAGGTGCTCAATACCAGTTCCATACTAAACAGCTCTACTCCTTCCTCTCCCTTTTGAGAGCCACATTAGCTTACAGCAGGGAAATTATTTTTTTCTCTCCAATAGTTTGGGCCTGGAATGTATACAGACCTCCAACAGATCTGTCAAAGAAGAGATCTGAGATCTCCTTGGCACTGGCAGGTTCTGGAAACAACTGACAAATTCCTCTTTAAAACTACCTACTACAGAAACCACTTCCGTATGTGTAACTGCCCTCGACAAAAACTCCCTCATTATCAGTCAAACCAGCAAAACACTAACCTCCTTGAAGACAAACAATGATCTGGAGGACCACAACAGACTGCCCATGAATTATGGAAAAGCCAGGTTGTGTTGTAGCACTGGAAGTTTTCACCTCTCAGCCATGTTTCAGAGATCCTGACTGCTCAAAAGCAGTGGGGAAAACAACCCACTAAGCCACAACTACGAGTAATGTTTCACACTAGCACAGGAAAACACAGACAGATCCCCACATCCACCCTTTTCAAAGTAAATACATGACCAACTATGACAAGGAAATTGAGGTCCTGAACACCACCAATAAAAGAAAAAGGCAATATGAGTAGTCAATCTCATGAAGACTAGTTACCCTGGAAAGCAAGGTACGTGATCTTCCAAGTCATCCTTTCTCTCTTTCCAGAAGACCCTAGTCAGCACATATATAACGTCTTTTATACATGTCAGGAACACGTTCATTGTCTGGTGCAAGCCTCTTCACGCTCCTTCTGGAAAAAGAGGACAGCAAGCAGAGCCTAACCAGAACACATGCCTGCTTCAGTTTAGTGTGTTTTGTTATGGGTCGGTGGATGAATTTTATTTTTTTGTGCGTGAGTTGGCTTTCTTTTGGTTTGGGTTTGGTTTTTTTTTTTTTTTTGGTGTGTGCGTGTTTGTTTTTAATTTCATCCTGATCATTTCAGATTTCTGTGAAGCTACAAATCCTTTTTTTTTTTTTTAATAGAGAACTTGAACTGTATTTCTATTGGGAATAGAGGGAAATGATTAATTTCAGAAGGGTGGAGTAAGGGAGAACAGAGCTTGCAAAAAAAAAAAAACCACAACAAAAAAAACCCCCAACAACCAACCAACCACAACCCAGAATTCAGAACAACTGAGCAAAGGGGAAAGCACCTGAAATAAGTGCTTACAGTTTATCTCATACAAGATCTTACAGAAGATTGACAGCACCAAGTTTTTGGGAAAGTTTTTCATACACTTCATAAAAGAAACTTTAAAAAAAACCCCACCACAATTCAAGTGCCAAAGAAACCCATAAGATCGGGGGGCGGGAAATCTACTCCCTCACTAAGGGAGGCTGGAAAAAACTTCAGAAAATTGTGCCTTCGAGCATCCAGGTGTTTCAAGAGATTACAGAAAGTCACAAGTGTTGCCTACAGAGATCAGACACTTAATCTGTGCATTACACCACGTACCAGATCATGCATTCAAATTTAGGTACTATGGAAAGGTAGCTTTTCTTGGTCCCTCTACACACTAACATGATTTTGCTCTGCATCACCAAATAGGAAGATGTGTGTACTGAAATACAGGTGGTTTAAACTATTGCACACGTCTCAGTCAATTTTCAGGTTAAAAACACATTTGCCTTAACGTACTGTTACACTTCTCACAGGCCACATCCATCTTAGATGAACCTACCGTGTGGTAGTGTTATGTTTGCACCATCAATGATTGCTTGTGCCAGTTCGTGATCATTGCTCTCGAAAGCATGCGCAGCCGCCTTGAGGGCATCCCAAATTTCCTTGCGACCTTCGAAAGCTGGTGCTGTGTCCCAAAACTCGTCTCTCTTACTGCGCAACTGTCCGTCTGTCATGGGGTAATCACTTTTCCATTTTGGCTTCTCTTTTTTCAAGGGTTGATTACGACCAAGAGCAACTGTGGAGGAGAAAGAGAGAGGGAAATTAAATAAAGGTAATAGCACAAAATTACTGAAGTGCCTTTGGATTATTCTGTTTAGGATCTACAGAGCTAAAGTTTACTTTCACACAATCCTGACCCTTTTTTTGCCCATCTCCTAGGCATCACCTCCCTTCCCCTGGGCTCCAAGTCGGCTTTATATCTTAGGAAAATGGAAGGGCTACCTCTTGCTTGCTGATTTCACCTGCACCCCTGAGCAGCCACAACTTCTCCCCGAGCTCCCCCATCTCTCAGCACAGCCATCTTCCAAAGGCTGCAGCAGCAGTACAGCGAGATGCCCATTCCCCCAACACTGACCAGGGTGCAGTGAGACCACACTCCTCTGGATCTCCGCTCTACGCTGCTAGCAATGCTCTCTGCTTGACAAGCATGATGCTCTGTTAACACAAGAGTTTTAAGAGGCTAAAGATTTTTTTTTTTTTGCATCATCTGCTTTTAAACACTTTTAATTCAGAGTAACTATATGTGGAAAGGCAAATAAGATGCACAAAGGCTAGAATTGTCAGACACAGGATTCCCTAAAGAATAACCCAGGAATACATCACGCTTTAAAAAGCGGTTACCTCCTTCACAATGAACATGAAAGCATTTGTTTCATTTTAACAGCAGCTATTTCTGTGTAATAGCCAGTTATGATAATCACATAGGTATAATGTTTGGTGGATTAAAGCTATCTGCTCACTTTAAATCACAGCACTGCTAAGACCGTGCTAAACCCTTCTCTTCCATCTGTGAGAGTACAGGTTTATTTCAACTTCTGCTGAAAAGAAAAGGAAAAAGAAGGGAGCAAACTTCAGTGCACACTGGGAACAATTTCTCCCTGCAGGAGTTAAAACCCCATTTCCTTCAGCCCCCTCCTAGCAGCGAGAAGGAGAAGCTCCCTGCAATGTGACCCTATGAGGACAGTACAGGGAAGAGAAGAGCAACAAACCACAAAACCAGTTCTCAACATGGCTCAATATCACAAAACCTTGAACACATAGTTTAAATGTCTCCAGAGGAAATGAAGTGTTCTTCAACAGTTAAACTAAATTTAACTGTGTTTGTAGCTGAAAATAAGCAGACCCTCCATGGGGCAGGTCACAGAAACTGGATGATGAGTACTGAAGGCTCTTGAAAGACAGGTAAGCTACACAGGACTGAAGTCAATTAAGGATCCCACCACCTATGATGCTGGAGAGCCATCCCTTCCTATGCTCTCTGTGAAGAGCCCTTGCCATCCCAAGAGAGCAGAGGAACCCCAGCTGTCATCAGGCCAGGGAAGCATGACGAGATGCAGTCTGTCACCCCACATTCACATTACCAAGGCCAAAATATCTCTTACAAGAACGAGACACCACAGCTGCTGCGGTATCAAAGCCTGTGGAGCAAAGCTGCTGCTTACCAGGTGCTCCTGGCTAGTAAGCACAGATGGGAGAGCACCAGGACAAACACACAGGTTTACATTCAGCATTCTGTATCCCATGTACATCCTTAGAGATACTAAGAAACATTTCCTTTCTCCAGATCCTCTTATTTTTCTGGCAGGAAGTTGACAATAGCTGACAAAACACTTTTCGCTTTCCTCAATCTTCCTCCAGTGTTCAGTTTTCAATGGAAGAGATTGTAATGTCTAAATATTCTTCATAGTTCTTTATCTAGACTTACGCTGTATCTCTACAGTTAACTACAAACCGTATTTATGACAAAGAGTGTGTGTGTGGGGACACACACAACTGAGAAGACCAAGTGTCAATACGTCGGAAATAGTAATTTCGGGTAAGCTGTAACATTTTGCAAAAATAGTATTTTAATTCAAATGTTCCCTCTCTTTTCTCGATTTTTTTTTTTTTCCTGCCACAGATGCACTTGGTTGTTTTCAGAACAGCACTTGACACCAAGCACTGGGTCTCAGGGTTGACCAGCAAAGCCTGGTGTTGCAGCAGGCATTTCAACTTCACATAGGCTTTAAGGAGACCAAAACACATACACGAGGTTACACCTCATGCCCTTATACAATCTGATTTTACATGACCAAAGAACTATCTACTTCAATTCATAACTCAGAATGACATTCACACTTAAGAAGCTGAGACTTAAGCCATTGAAAACAGGACATTCAGAAGAGCTCCTGATGGTAAGGTGACTTCCCTTGCCAACTATGTGAAGGCATACACCTTCTTCAGGTTAAAAAGAAACATAGTAGAGGATATATGTGCATGGAAACAAAGTCAGATCATAATTAAAAGTAGCAAATTACAATTGCATGGCACACATGCAATGACTCCAGCTGTTATTCTGTTTCCCATGCAGAACCTAACAATAATAAACTTCTGAATCCTTTCAAGTGACCACAAATGTTTATTGCTTTTTGTTTCCACGGGATTGGTTCCATGAGATTGCTTCCATTTGCTTTTCAAAGAAGTGCTGACCATTTAACAGATTTCAGAACAGCAAACCCAAGTGTTTACAAAACACCAAGTTTCCTGGCAAAGCCCAGCCGTTACTAGTCCAAGTCTCAGCTGAGCACACACTAGCTGGGGGCCGATGATGGCCCAGCCTAGAACAATGGTGACGGAGGCAGCCCAGACAAGATGGACTGCACACATTACACAGTATACTATGAAATTGTAAAAACATATGTGGTAAAACACTTAAACAAGGAATTGTTTCCTTATTAAGGCTTAGCAGTCAGAGCATGAAAATTTCAGACAAACAGAACAGGCCACTGTAAGAAATTTGGGCCAGTGGGCATCTTTCCTTGCATTCTTCTTCGGCTACCATCTGTTTGCATGTACATTCAATGAATCCTAATTTATCCCACAGGGCCCTCTCCTTCTCCCTCAACATTAATTATGAAAGCGGGTTAAAGGCACTTCCCGCTGTCCCCGAGCACGGCGGCATTTCCTGCACACAGCCCTGCCCGCCCCTACCCAGCACCACTGCAGAAACGGCAACAAGCCATTTCTCTCCCCTGCTTCCCCCTTCGCCTAAGACAGCATCCAAATATATTGCTCTTCACTAGACAAGGATAGCAGGGGAGAGACTAAAGAGACAGAGATCCTAACAGTCTCAAATAACTTCTCCCTGGAGACACAATCCTTCCTACACAGACAGCAGTGATAAACCCAGCGATAAATTGTTTTTTTCAAGTTGGGAGAGAAGGATGGTGGAAGAAAGTGACTCTACAAATGCCTCTAAAGCCAAATCCACTCTAACAAGCCATCCATCCCAGTACTAAGCCTTTAAACACAACTTGGCTTCACAATTCAGTATTTAAAAAGGTCTTTAGCGTGTTTTATCATTTATTAGAAGTTCTTCAAGAATCCCCTAAAAGCTTTATGCCACCCCTGAAGATGTATTAATCTCTCTCTAGTTCTGTGGATAGATGGAGCAGAAAGGATACAATAAACTTAAGAAATCTAAAAAACCTAACATGTAAAAGGGCCCAAATCTTTCACTTTCCACCTCATGGTTTAGTCACTATAGAGAAACATCACTACATGAATTTCTACAACCAAAGTTTTGGACCATATCAAAGGACTTCCCCTTTTCCATAGTAAGGCTGACAAAGACTAGTCAGAATAGGCAATGAAATAAACGTCAGCAGTTGAAACACTTTGTCAGGTATTTATAGTGTCAAGTTTTGTATTCCTCACTTTGGAAGTAAACTAGAGCTCAAAAGAAAATGTTGACTTCATTTAAGACCATGCACATCAGAGGCACAAGCAGCTTGCAATATCTGGAAGAGAAAGTAACATCCACATTAATTTTTCATCTTGCATCACTTCAACATAAATAAGAAATTATTAATATCCTGCTTGAAATTATGAGTAGTTTTATAAATGCCAAGAAGGCATGTTCTCTCTGAAGCACTACTGAAAGTTGCCCATCTCAATAGATGGCAATGGTTGATATTTTTGGCAAGAGACTTATTTAGAAGGAAATATGAAGACCATTAACAGTCTACTTTTCAAAAAAGGAAAAATTGGCACGAGTGACACTCCAAAATAAGGTTGTTCTTGTTCCAGTAGCTCACAGACGGTGGTGCTGTGCATCCCAAAGAGGGCTAAGAAGTCGCTGACAACCTGCAGGACGTTGCTGAAGAGCAGCCTTTCTCAGGGAGAACCACACAGGTCACTACATGGCCTTATGAAGGATTTTCCAGGGCTGCTCAGAGGGGTTACTGCAAAGTGATTACAGATGCTCTTTATACTCCTGGATATTGGACCTGTTCTAGACAGAGAGTTGCCTTAAAGATGCCTCCTGCACTGTCTCCCTCCAGTTAGAAATGCACTACTACTTGCATGGTACACAGAGCACTTAAGACTTGCTGAAGTCCGTCAGGTTAACGGCAGAAGCAATAGCTAAGAAGGTAAGAAGTCCTGATCATTACTAGCTGCATAATGAATTTCCTCGGGCTTGGCAGGCATAAGAGAAGAAACTCAAACCTAGCTAGTTAGGCACTCCAGGATACAGCAGGAGTCGGGGCAGGAGACAGGACTGCAGTGACCTGCAGCAGGCTGGAGAAGCAGGCAAGCAGAGAGGCAAGTCTCATCTCAACTCAGCATCCACCCATCCAGCACATCCGCTGTGTAGGCATCCCTACATTTGCAAAATCCAAACACTACCCAAGCCCCCTTCCCTAGTCAAGTGTCACTTATTAGACTGTTTAATATCTCGAAGTGACCTAAAACCAGTGGCAGACAAGCAGTAGGCTGTTTCGGCCCCACCAGTAGGATTTAGCAGCATATAATGTGTTTTCCCTTCACAAGCAGAGGAGTACCCCAGGATCCTGGAGGTAGCTGCTACTGTCGGACCCACTAATCTTGGCTCCTGGCAAACTACAAAGTCTTACTTTTCAGAAGGAAAGACATATTTCTCCAGTCCTTGCAGACTATTTTATAGCCTGAATTACAAAGGTTTGTTTCCCTTCACTACAGCTTTCCCTCAAAGCAATGGAATCAGTAAGGTT